AACAAGCGGGATTGGCCTAGGGGAATTTTTAGTGGGGTTTTAAGAATAATTTTAAATTGACACAGGCCACATCAAATATTTCATTTTAATTAGGTTTTAAAGTGGGTATTTTTATCTTTGTATCTGTTTTACCAGGCTGTCAGCCGCCCTGAGTCCGTAAGGAGAAGGGCGGGATAAAAATTCAAACAAATAAATAAAAATAAATAAATGAATGTACCTCAGATTCAGTAAATGATGTATCATATTCTTACTGTAAGCTATATTTTGCATTTATATATAGCATATTTTATAAGGAAATTTATTTTTACTATGAAGAAATTTAATGATATACAGCATTTTAAATGTAAGAAAAAATAGTTTCCAAAATATTTTCTGTTATTTAATAAACTTTGTATCTAGTCAGGACATCTGAAGGGTTTTTTCCTAGGCTATCAAAGCTTTCACTCCTAAAATGGACATTTTTATTTCTGATGAATCATAGCTGCAAATAAACTTTTCCACAGCTTTTTTTTTTTTGCATCATTATATGCTGCTATGATACTCTTTGTAGCTCGTTCATAAATTTGATACAATGTAATATAGAACATTAAATATATATCAGAACTAAGTATGTAGGTTTTTGCTTTCAATTAAGTTTAAGTATGCTAAACTATGTTCCAAATAAACCAGATTTAGGCAAGTTGAGTTAAATATCAATAATTTAAATATAATTGATTTTATTTAATATCAGGAACACAAGAAAGCATTCCCTCTTAGCTCCCACAAATCTGAGAAGAAGCTGGGCTTGAGAAGTTTCATAGCTGAAAGTAGATTTGAACTTCTGTCTCCTATTCATTACATTACACCAGGCCTAGTTCCAGCAATGGAACTCTTAGGCTTTCTGATCACATTTAATGCATTGCTATCTGTTTTGAGTAGGCATATCTCCCGTGCTCCTATTTTTCACATTGGTTTTCTGAAAATTCAAATTGTAGCTTGGTGTTTCTTTTTTTGCAGGAAAAGGACACCCAATCAGGCCATTATCAAAAAAAGTAAAGTTATTAGCTTTGCTTGCATTAAAAAAAACATCTGGATATCCACAGGGCAATATGGAGTGCAGGTTTGTCTATTTAACCTATCAGACACTTTAGTATCTCCTTCAGACCAAAACTGATGCTTTCCAAACTATGATTTTAAAGTCTCTTGAAGGGTTGGCTTATTTATTAAATTTGTGTAGCCACCATATTAAGCACCTAACTCTTGGTGACTTAACTATACAAAACAAAACACATGAATACAGACACAAATA